AAATTTTGTGCTTTGTACCGGGGGTAAACTGTTTTCGCAAAGTTTTGCTTTTGTTTATTTTACACGCGCACGGACGAAACTCGCTGTTAAAAGAGGCTAAAAGTTACTCTTTGACGTATTCCAATTGATGGTTCACGGAATTCATTCGATACCAAACCAGACGAAAATAAAATAAATAATTCTGTCTATATATATCTTTTACAAACACACTTTTGGCCACCAAGGTTTTGGATGAAAGAAGATTGCATGTAGCTGAAATGCGTATGCTAAGATGGATGTGTGGTGTGACAAGGAAGGATAAAGTTAAAAATGTGTATATTAGAGGAAGTTTGAAAGTAGCGCCAGTGATCGAGAAATTGAGGAGTAAAAGATTAGCGTGGTTTGGACATGTTATGAGGAGGGATGATGATATAAGCTAAAAAGTAATGAGATTGAATGTGGATGGCTACAAGGGTAGAGGAAGAACAAAAAAACGGCTGATAGAGATGTATGGAGGAGTAGTACATGCCGACCCTCGATAAGGATAAGGGCAGGTTGATGACAAACACACTGACTGAAGTTGCAATGTGTCATTTATTTACAACACTGTGTCGTTTATGTAGATAAATGTTAGTATATAATAATTACTGACAAGTATTGTGTTAATTTGGCGTAATAAAGATAATTTTTTCATAATTAAATAAATTGCGTAATTAAACGCTTTTCATTGGAACATCAAACAAAGTCCTTAACTTGAGAAAAAGTAACCTGAATATTAATAATAATGTGCTGTACAACTCTAACCTACATTCGTTAAAAGTGTGCTGTTTTCATGAATAGTAAAAAGAAAAAATCGGTCTTGTAGAGATATGTAAAAATTTAGCATCTACTGCGACTTTTTTATTTAATGAAACCTATTAAATGTACGGATATTCAGAAATGTAACTAAAATTATTAGGGTAAAGCAATTCAAATTGAATGTGAAACCGTAGAATAATTTTCAATTGCGCTTTTAAACTTTTCAAAACATCACAAACTGGTAAAGTTGAAACTTATTAATTACGAACACATAAGTATGCCAACGTGAAATAGCTTAGAGTTTATGAATATCATTACATTAAATTAAATTATACTTGGGACTTGGTCGATCAAAATAAATTAAAAATACTTGAATAGCACCTAAGCCAAAGAATACTCTATCTTTGAGAAACTGAAATAGTCACAAACTAAATTGGTAACGCGTAAGAATGTTATATAGGTAATTGTATTTATTGTTTAGCAAAAGTCGAAAGAAATGTCCATACAAGGAAAAATAAGGGGGATGTCCCACTAGGAGTGATAATTTGATTCTTGCCTAAAGGGTGGATTAAAAAGTTAAGTTAGAGGTAACTAGGCCTTAATAAACCTCGCTGGCCAAGTGAGTTTTTGGCCTAAATATACCTCTCGATATTTTCCTTATTTGTCATCAGATAAATGTACATATGATGTACGAAAATAGCAAAATACATTGCTAGATACCCCAACGCTTATTAAATGCGTTAAATTAATTATTTTTTTTATTACTTAGATATAAGTTTGGAGCCTTAATGTTGTTCAGATCGTTACCATCTCGCTACTTTAGCTTTAAAAAAAAAATAATCACCTTATCACAGGTCATTGCGTTGCGAACCGTTTAGTGCGATAATAGAAACAAAGCAAGCGATTCGTTTTATCATATTCATACCTAACTTGTAAGAAGATTAAATGGTCTGTCGGTATTTTTTAATATGTATTCAGAAAGCTTTCTACATTAAGTATGCTGTTAGTATTATAAAATATGTTGAGTAATTGCGTCGTATTTTAAAGTTAATGTTCCCTTGAAAAATAAAATATTTTAATCTTTTAACTCATTGAATGCCCATTATGTATTTGTAAAAATATCTTTTTATACAAATAAATAAATTATAAATAATATTTTTTTTCAACAAACTTGTTGGCCAGGAGAAGTATAAATAAATAAGGAAAAGGGATATCTCTCGACGCTTTTTCTTTTTTCAAACATCTCATAAATATACGGCCACATATTTTTATGTTACAATTATTATCAAAGCATCGTGTCGGCTATATCCAGCGCTATCTTCCAAAAGGAAGAATTTCATTATGCGGAGAATTCCGTTTAATTTAATCTTTCATTGTGCCAACATTATTTGACTTCCTCGTCGTCGTGGCAACAAAACTTATAATTTCAATCTTTGCACGAAAATCAGTCATAGTATACAAAATACTACTTGGTCTTCGAAAAAAAAGGGAGTATTATATAAAGCCAGTTACAAATGGTATAAATATATGATTCGTTTAATTAATTAATAAGTTAAGCTGATTGGACGAAATTGATTGGTGATTACTGAGGCTGTCGGAAGCGTGTACTATAAGTACCAATGCTCAAATTAACTTAAAAAAAATGAAATTATATATATATGTACGTTCCTAGGGTACATAAAAGTAAATACACACTGTTTACAAACGTACAAAATGATGTAAACATATATAATACAATTCCTAGCCTTTGTAATTAACTCTTGTTGATGTTAGTCAAATAGTTGAGATTGAAACATAACAATACACATGTTGTATGTATGTCAAAACTAAACAAATTCTAGTTTGAATACTTAATCAAATTGTTCAGGAGTTATTTCTATACGAGGTATTTATGTATCTATAAATTCCATTTCTATTACAAATTAATACTAAATAATATAATTAATTATACTGAGTTTACCCGGCACAAACGCGCCTTGCAGATAGACCGCCAGACAGACAGACAAATAAAAATAAAAAATTGGTTTCTTCTTATAAGTTTATATGTATATCAAAATATATTTTTTCGATATGACATACAGACACTCCAATTTTAATAACTCTTAAGATTGTCATCCGTTTCATTATCTTTGTTAAAACAGGGACTATTAATATAAAACGTGCTAACAATTATTAAGCATCCTAACCACTTCACAGGCAAACCCCCTGATGTTCTTGCGTTTGGAATAACTCTAATGATGACAATGGTTTTGGTCGCTGGCGTCAAAAAATCACTCGTTTTTAATAACGTTCTCAACGCTATTAATCTTACTGTATGGGTATTCATCTTATCCGCTGGAGTCTTTTACATTGATGTCGCTAACTGGACTGAGCATAAAGGATTTCTGCCCTACGGTTGGAGTGGTGTAAGTAAACAATTGTAACTTTTGTAATGCAATCTTGAATTGTTAGAGATTTTCATACTTTTTCATAACAATATTTGCTTTCATTGTGTCGTTCGTATTATTTAAATAAATAAAATAAATATACATTGAAAATAGCAGGGTAACGGTTTACTAATCTTCTCTAAAGAGTGCATCAAAGTGGTTTGGCTTAAATCAGTACTTTACAAAAAAATATTGTTACTCGTTTTTTAAAAATAAAAAGGCGACGTCTTGTGTTTCGGCAATGAAAGCCGACTATAGCAAATTTATTTTGTACTTAGGTTTTTAGCGGTGCAGCGACTTGCTTCTACGCATTTATTGGATTTGATATCATTGCTACTACTGGAGAAGAGGCCAATAATCCCAAGAAGTCCATCCCTCTTGCGATTATACTGAGTCTGGGTATCATAACAATTGCTTATGTCAGCTGTTCCCTCATCCTGACATTGCTGGGTACGTATACTAAAAATTGCTTTTACCGTTGGTTTCTAAAACCAAAATCTCTTTATAAAACATATCGACATCCCTGACATAAACTTAACAGAGATAACATAGGTTTTGTCTCAGAAACTCACTGTTATAAATTCATAAAAAATATTACAAGATTTTTTAATACTATAATTATACATATTTATTAATTGATTTTATGATAAGTTTCTCATCATAATAATTAAATTACGAAAATATTGACTAAACGCTACTAAAAGAATACGAAGTAATAACAATATCTTTAATTCCTGGCGATAATTCCATATTATATTACCCTTATTCACAACACTTTTGTTTAATAGCTTCTGTTGTTAAATTGAAACTACATTGGGTTCATATTTCATTGATTAATAAAGTTATATATTTCTACATAAGTATTATAATTTACTTTATACCTTACAATATTATACAAAACAAAGTCCATCTAAATGACATATGTAAATAGAATTTGTGAAACTAACTATATGTCTCGTGCTCAATTTCATAGTCAGCGATTACAATTGACTAGCGTTTGCTCGCGACTTCGTCAGCACATAGTAAATGGTAGCGTAATAATAGGACCTCACATATCAGCAACCTTCCCGTTAAAGTCGGTTTAACTGTTCTAGATATTACTCGGAAGAAGACTTGCGGATAGATAGACATAAGTAAAAATTAAAAGAAAATATAATAGTTTTTTACTTGTTCGTGAAATATGATTTTTTTTATATTACATACATACATACCAATTTAATTAACCGTATATATGAGAATTTCATAAATAAATTATTGAAAATGAATAGAAGCAGTATTGTGACTATAATTTTACGTCGGCACACATAATGTTTACAGTGGTGAGGATAAGGTGTTTTTATAGAAAATAAGAATAAATTTCTTGTGGTAAACTGCGGTTTACTTTGATTCAACTTAAGTAAATATGTATTTTAATATCACGTTAAATGTAATTGAAAAGCTATTATCAAAATGAACAACGTTTATTTTTAAAATATTGAAATGTTTTTTTGGGATTGTAGCATTGTAAGAAAAATGTTACGATATCTGTTCAAAATATAAGAATGATAGCATAGAGCATTTTTCATTTTCTTGAAATCACTTGCTTTAAGTGAATAAACTATAGTTCAGTGTTGTCTTCAAAAAAAAAAGATAAAAGACCATTCACACACTATAAATGTTTTAATAAAAAACAAACTGTGTTTTCCTGTAGCCCTGAGGCGTTTTTGTTTTAAAATGTATTTTCTATTCTTTCCACTTAACTGGCAGTAGCAGTACATCAAAAAACACCTGTAGCGTTTATCTAGTCTGTGTCTGTGTAGGCGCCAATAGGGTGAATAAAATTATAAGAGATTCCTTTTTTAATAATAGCAGATTTTTGTTAATTTACTAATGTTTTCTTGTACCCTTCCAACTAAGCTCTATGGTTATAGTCGGACAATAGTCGAATGGCGCGATTCGAACCTTCGACCTCGTGATCGGAAATCCGTACCCTTAATTATTAGACTATTGACACTTTTACACCTTACCTTACCTTTACCTTTAAAACAAAGTTTTAGTTTTAAAATACTTCATAGATTTGAAGACACAATTTTTCTGATGTTAAATAGGAATTAATACATGATAACAAAATATTTTACTATAACAATTACATTAGTTTTTACCGAACACTTTACTATAATAAAAACGGAAGGAATTGCACTTATAAAACTTAATAACAAACTTTGTAGTATTCAAATTATTAAAAACTCACAGAAGAACTTTCCTTATTGTAGTTATGATGTAAATTTTTCAAAGCGTAAGGTTGTAAAGTTGTTGTACCATTCATTCATTGCAGCTAAAGGCTTTCTTTATGATATTATTTCTTACCTAAAATGTATGTTAAAAAATTAGACATAATTCTTTTACTACCTTCCAAGTTCAGAGAAATATTAAAAGATTTACTCAGTATTTTGGATATTATTTTAGTGCCCTACGACGAAGTTGATACCACCTCGGCCTTGGTGCAAATGTTTGATCACGTCAATGCCCCCACTGCTAAAATCATTGTGGCAGTAGGTGCTCTTTCTGGACTTACTGTTGCTATGTTTGGCTCCATGTTCCCCATGCCCAGGATTCTTTATGCCATGGCCCAAGACGGTCTCCTCTATCGGTGAGTATATAATCACGGAGTAGGTCTATTATTTTTATTATTTTATTGAAATACGATGTTCTAACTTCGGAAAGTTTTAGCTAATTTTGAAAGAAATACAAGCAATATAAATTAAACATATCATAATAATATGTAATTCATCAAACAGATAAAGTTGCGTTTGATGAAGAATATTTGTTACATGTTTTGGGCACCTGAAAATAATTTTGTTGCTGTTAATCATATTGTCATGTTTATTATTAAACATTTTGTTTATTAGTCCGCTAAGCGCTGTGTCGCAGAAGACTAGTTCGCCGACATTTGCTACGGTCATCGGAGGGATCACTGCGGCTTTGGTTTCCTTGGTCGTGCAACTTGAAATTCTCGTCGAAATGATGAGTATTGGTAAGTTATAGTCATAGCAGATGAACACTAACCTAACCCTGTGTTCTCATACATATAATTTCGACACAAAACGTTTGAACCGATGTTAGGCAATTCATTTCAAACCGTTCTTTTTCGAAGCTCAAACTGCGTAAAATTAATTTCATGAAAAGTTAACCAAGTTTCTTCACTTTCTATTTTTAGCCGACTTCAAAAAGAAGGAGGTTATCAATACCTCCGTATTTTTTTATTAAGGCGTAACTCATACTTAAAAGTTTTGTTACAATTATTACGAAACGACGAAATGCGTCATCAACATAATCTTAAATATAGAATGATGATATAAATTATAGACATGAAAAACGTGGTAACATTTGTAAAAATATATTTGCGATATGTGGAATAACATAATATGGAGAATAAAATTATAATACAAATTCCACAGGTACTCTGATAGCTTACTCTCTCGTTTCCACCTGCGTGCTCATTTTGCGTTACCAACCTTACGCCAACAACCTGATCGAGCTGCTGCCGCAAAGTCTACGTACGCCGATTGACCTGGAGGGTACCGCTGGACGGAGAGAAACCACAATAGAGGTCATTTTTAAATAATTAGTCGTTCATAATCTACATTAATTATTTTATTTGTAACATTAACTCGAATACAATGTCTATATAGCATGATTTGTTACAGGTGACATCTCACACCCAGATGGCCCCTAGTCAACGCATAATGATTCGTCGAGTGACCCAAAGGTATGAATCTTATTATCATTATTGCCAGCGCTATGCGAGCTTGCGTAATATTGCCGTAGCGAAAGGCCGGCCGAATGTGTTTTCACTTTTACAAAGCTCTTTTAAATGCGTATAAATAATAAATACAATCAATTAGCTAAGCGCTACAGTATGTCCACAGTTCTCCGGACTCTGATGACACCATAGCCGATGACAGCGAGGAATATTTCCGCGATGACACCTATCTAATGAACCCCACCGGTGATAACAACAAGTTTTACGGTACGTTTTCGCAAAAAAATAGATTCTTATTGAAAATATGTAAAATAAAATATACCTTACTATGTGTTTTGTATAAATCATCTTTCTCTTCACAATATAGTTGGTCAATTTATTAAAACATATAGGTGACACATATATTTGTGTTTTTTCAGATGGTAAATAATATATAATTAATCCATTAATGTTTATTTCAACTACATGAACGGATTTTTTAAATATTTTTAATGATAATAGGAAACATCCACTGCGGTCTATCAGGCGGTACAACGCGCTACGGAAGATTCTTTAACGACATCTACCGTCGGCTGCAGGGCTTATCATACCTTTGCCCTGGCCTCTTCCCATGGGTAGAAAATGGACCAGCAACCGAAGCGTCAGGTAAGTGTGATCATATAAATAGTTTTTCATTAATATCAATGTGAAAATATAGGTGGTGGTAAAAAGAAGCAAAAGAAGAAATACTCGTACTTCATTAATACGTAATGCAATATGTACATCAATAAAATTTTCGAATATACTCGTAATATATAATAGGCTTCAATTGTAATTCGTTAGCTCAGTTCTTGTCTTATTCATGTCTTAATCACGTTAGTTGAAGCCTGAATAGCTGTGAATCCGCGATAGTAACGTAATTATTGTATGCTTCATGAGGATTTCAATAGAGATGTATAGCGACATTTGAAAGGGAATAATTAGTTGAAGTTTGAGTACGCGAAGTATTCATAAATGTTTAAATTTTATTATTTAACATTTTGTTGTTATAGGAATTTTCGTGGTTAAAGCTGTTGGCATTATGTTCGTCTTGATAATAATTTTCGACCTGCTTGCCGCCTATGCGACTCCGACATCTTTTGACTTTACCGCAATCGTAATGATGCTGCTATTCTTCGCCATATTTATTATCTTGCTTATGATCTCGAGGAAACCACAGAATCGGTAAGATGCAATTAAATTTATACAAACATAAATGAATTATTAACTACTAAAAAATGAGGTAAATAATCACTTGTTGATATGTAACTGTTGTTACAGAATTAATCAGATTTATCTTGCGCCATGGGTACCTTTCGTGCCTACTATTGCGGTTGCTACCAACATTTACTTGATATTGAACCTTTCGATTTTGACGTTGGTGCGTTTCGCGATTTGGATGGCCCTTGGTATGTTAAGTTTTATATTGATAATGATGGTAATGGAATAATTGCATAGTTGCAAGTTTTGAAATGTTGGAAATATTTTAGGTCTGATTGTATATTTCAAATACGGCATTAAAAACTCCGTGCTGGAAAACCCTCCCGCGCAAGACCAAATTCCGCCAATGCAACCTAGCGCCATGGAGCGGGCTTCCGCTCCCATTATTTGTAGCCAGCCGCGTCGTATTGGAGACCGCAATATCTTTGAGGGTGACGGATCCAACCGGATGTTCGGATCTGAGTAAGTTTTATTTTCACCTAACTTTTTTTTGTTAAATACAATTTTTTTAAACGTGCATTTCGTTTGTGAGATTTGTTACTTTTATTTCAATTCAATGTAATTTTTTGGGATTTTTTCCACCATTAGCCCATACAATTAAAATTGTTTTTGACAAACGTGTCGATTTGGTAGCGTGTCATTCTATTCACCCATATGTCAAATCCAACTGACTTTGCAGTTTTTCTCAACCCATACTGACTTGGCATGAGTCTAACCTGACGCCCCTCCCATCGACCAGCTATGAGTCCTCTACTAGCCTTGGCATGTCCTCCGGATCGGAAAATACTCGCGACCAAGCCAGTAGCGTATCCCTGCGTGGTAGTTTTGGCCACACCATCGTCAACCGTGGACACTCTCTGAAACGTGGCGCAACTAATACCACCAAAGGATTTAAGCAGATCGAGACACGGTGAGATTGTTTTTTTTTTATCTTTTAATAAATTAAACTAAATGAGTGATTATCGCGAAATCTATAATTTTTATTTGCTTTAACAAGTTAAAATAATTTTATCCATGCACAGTCAACGACTAAGCCTTGCATTTAATAATTAAAAAGTCCATGCATATATCGTAAATGATTGAAAATGTAACGTTCCTTTTTTGTTTTAGTTATGACGCTAAAACTAACAGCATTTCTTCGCATACCATGAGCCGTCCTCCATGGGCAAACCCGGACTCGCTGCACGGCAATTGGGACGATTAAATCAACATTCTAAATGTTATTTCAAGATATAATTTTTAAGTTTTACTTTTAACGATATTATGTGTTATTTTTGCGGTTGACCGGAACGCGGTTAGTAGTAGTCAAAAATTCGCATTCGCACAAAAATTCGATTGCCGCCTGACCGCTGCGGTCACTCGCAGCATTGCAGCTCTATTTCGACTGGCTGCACGGTTGTTATACTCATATCGACATTTGGTACTCATCATAAACACCGATTGAGTTAGCAGCTTTACCATACGAATGCTGTCAACCAGAACGCGGTCAATAGAGTTACTTTGCTTTTATTGAGGATCGGTGTTCATCACAGACAAGGCATCGATTCAATGATCACTTTTAGTTTACGCATTTTACAATCGTTGTTCATAGGCAGGGCACTGATTTTGTTCATTACGTTACACATTTGCTGTACTATAAATTTGCTTTTCGGTGTGTAGTGTGACCTTACGAATTTTGCGGACAACCGGAACGCGGTCACTAGCAGTCAAAATATGTATAAAAGGTTTCATTCGCACAATAATTCGGCTGCCGCCTGACCGCTGCGGTCGTTCGCAGTATTGCAGCTCTATTGCGGCTGGCCACACGGATGCACTATTGAGCATCATTGCTCAACATATGGTAATGATACAGTTAACAGCTCTCCAGTTAGCAATGGCAACTGCAACATTCGGTAAGCGTCTCACAAGCTTGGTATATCATACATTTAAACTTCATTAAACATCGTCATGCGTCTTCTCATTTAACATTGTCATTTTGCTTAATTTATGTTCTAATTGTATTATATATGTATACATTTACATAACATTATAAACTTGAATAGGCCTTCGGTTTTAAAAATATGTATGCTCGAATTCATCATTAATATGCATATTTTATAAAATGAAGGCCTTTCCAGTTTTTTAAATTTTGTAAACGTATACATATTTATGTAGTTGACTGTACATATATTAGAGTTCGTAATGTCCATAATCATTAAAGTAAATAAGTACAATATGAACACTTTAATGAATGTGGAAATATTTAGTAGTATAATGTATTGTCTGTATCCGATTTTGCCTGATGATTTTGTTTCGCGTTAATTCAATTATAACATATCTAATTGAGAACTGATTTTATATTCAAATCTGTTTACAACAGTTTTTTTTTCTTCGTTCACATGTAAGGCAATAGGGTATTTCCGATTAAATAATCAAAAGCCTATACAAACATATCAGATGATTTTTACCTACAAAAACTTTGAAATTTTATTGATCTTCCCAACAATATATATATTTATATAAATACTGTGTAGTTGTCTTTCCTTTTACGTCTAATTTTATTTGAAAATCTTTATTATTTTTTTGTGAAGTGTAAATTTCATATATTTGTTACATTACAGTATTTTATTTAGTTACTTATTATTATAGAGATATTTCTTGCTGTTATTTGCTTATGTAGTGTATGTGTTAACTTAAGTATGTTTACCATTAATTTGCTAACATTTTAGGTGAATATTTTTTGTAGATAAATTAATGTAGTATTCATTTGTTTTCGCTTTTTATGGAAAATGTTTTATGAGTTATGTTTTCGTATGCATTGTAAATAGAAGCTTGTGTCTTTACCCTAGTAAGAAATAAATGTGATATTTTAAGTAATGTTCTACACTATTCCTAATTGTGCTAAAATCTCTAAACTATGCTGTTTAGTACATATATTCAATATTGGACCTAGCTCTTAGAATTTTAATGTATATTTATCAAGTATGAATCAGGGCTATCTTAGCTATTTTTAAGCTACATGTATTTTTAAAAATCTCTAAAACATAACTTATTTTACAAACTACCATATATTACTTAAATTTATTATATATAATCATACTGATGGAATAACTTCGGATTAACAACTTATGAATCACACTATATCGGGATACGTATGCCAACTTTCCATTAAAAAAATAATTATTCGATCTCGGTCGTATTTCCGGAGAAAAAGAAAGCTGTAGCTGAATATGGTTGAACATTGCTTTACAATAGAAGTCTTGCTACCTACTAACAATACACCGTGTTGACAGGCTGGCCTAGTATTCATGGCTACGAGTGTCGTTACAAGTTTAATTGATTATAACCGTGCGTTTCCACTACACGAAATAACCGTTTAAAAACATTTTCATTTCACTTTTTTCATCGAGAATGATAAGAGATGTATGTATAAATGCGATCCCAAATTTAGAATTTCTTTTATAAATAGTAATAAAGTAAAAAAATATCAAACAAAACATTAACTATATTTCAAATACTTGACTGTCTATACTTCTAAATTTCTCTTTAGTGATGTAAATTTCTTAATATTGCTGTGAAGCTCTACTGCCGAAACAATTGATTTAAAACATATTGTTAACTTTGTTTTACGTAATGGGAACGACAAGGAAGGCAGTGTGTTTTATACAGGGTGTTACGACAGTGGTAGCCCACAGTTATGTATACCTAAAACTTACAGTATTCTTTGTTTCCTTTAAGATAAAATGTTGTTGATTGTTATTAGTAGTGTACTGTAGGTTTTCCAAGTAGTCAAATTGTTGACTTTTATTGGAATAATAATAGATTTAGGTCTGAGAGCATAAAACGTGATCAGCATGTTTGCCTAGAAGTTATTTTTGCTTTCAAAAAGTGAAAAAATATTATACTTTATTTTTTACAAAATTATTACTTTAACACAAATTTAATTTTATCGACTTAACACGTCCTTCATCAAATTCAAATGAGAGACAGAATTCAAAAACAATTTTAGATTTTCCTATTATCGTATTACCGGTACAAAAGTGCGCGGCACCGCTGGTAGCGGACATACTAAAAATGTATATTTCAGCTTTCTGACTAAAAACGCTGTATAGTAAAAATTCGTAACCAATTGGGATAAATGTATGGAAGAAGTGTGATAGCCTAAAATGTTTATTTATTCATTGTTTTTCAATTTAATTATATTTTATTTGAGTCATTGATATGTATATTGATGTATTAACTTAATTTATACAATTATGCCCGACTGACTCTCCTTGCTACTCCTGATAAGATTACGATTCGAACGATATCTTTTTCTTCAATATCGATCCATCTCCGGTTTCTGATGTCCCTTTTATATTCGATAGTGGTTGTCGTTCTGAAAATTTTTATTTTTTCACTTCTTTTAACTTAACTGATTAATTTTTCCCTTTTAATGGTAACGTAACTGTATTTGCATTTTTTAGCATTAAATTATCATTATTCAGATTAGTTGTTTTGGTTACATGGTACAGTCACCTCCGTTCGCGGTGTTTCACTTAAAGAAATACTTGCATTACTTAAACTCCTACCCGACGCCCTTTCGTAAAGTAAATAATTAATGAACATATAAACATCTTCGCACAAATATTAAAAACAACTTTGGGCTACCAATACCATGCCCTATATTGTGTAGTATTTCATCATTTATTGACCTTTATCTGTAAACGTCAAACGCGTTCAAACGACTGTGGATGTTAACTTGGAACAACGCCAATAAACGTGACTGTACATAGCTGCAAAAAATATTCTTCTCTTGTCAGTCGGGCAATTATATATCTTATAATTAATATATATAACTGTTCTAAGTTAACAGTATTATAATCACGTAATTGATGTTTAAATTATAATAATCAATATGATATTCGGTGTAGTAGTTGAGAAATGTAATTTAGGATTTAATCCGTATACTACTCTTATATAAATGTTTAACATAGTCGTAATAATGTTATTTATAATTTTTTAAATTATGCTTACTTATTTTTTTTATTTACTATTTAAGCATTTATTACATTTAGATAATCATGAAAGCCATTGATCACTTTCACAATATTTTATTATAGGGTAATTTAGAGGTAATAAATCCCGCCAAATAAGATAGCCCAAGATAAAATAAATTAAAAAATTGTAATTTGTTACTACTTAAATCAAATCAATATCATTACCGTTAGCATCCCATTGGCGAATCATTTTTTTAATTTTTACTGTTTCCTTACACAAGTACTGTTTATCGTTGGTTTCTGAGGTATTATACCTGTATAAAACGTTTTGTCATTTCTCGCATTGTGCTTGTTAAATAGATATAACAATATGTTTTATACAGGGATTTTGGTCTCAAAAACCAACGATTGACTGAACAGGTCTATTATGCATTTAAAGGTGGCTTTACCCTAACGTACCCTATATGTTTCGTCATACAAATTGTATCTCTAGCGGCAATTGTTTTATGACTAAAGAACACGTATGTGTTTGTAGCAATTCGTGGTGGACAATTAAAACCTTGAATCCACCTATGTTTTATGATTGCTATTTAAAAGTTTCACAGTGTTTACTGGCTAACATAATATTTTTTGTAATTGAATTGTTTATGATTTAAAGTTAAGAATGTTTTTATCTTATATAATTTTTAATTAATTTTGAATTTTGTAAACATTTTATTATTTTGGAATATGTAGGTTAAATTATAATAAGCGATTGATGTCGTCATATTTAATCAAATATATAATCAGTAAATTTAAGTGTTTAACGCATGTAATCTAAGGTAAAATTCCAGCGATTCTCAAAGTGGTTTTCGCAGAATCCTATGAAACCAAGATAACAAGGGGATTTCGTAACTAATTTATCTCGTTTTTCGTAATTGATTATCTTTGCCTGGCAGATAACATGAAACAGAATAGCGTAATAATATTACAACTCTAAAAACCTTAAAACGATCTTACACTCCCTAAGAACTCGGTTTCTAAATAGTCAATAGTCAAGACATTCTATGGATTATTTAGGACACCAATATGCAGGTAGCCTGCTTTTTGTTATCATTTTTAGAGACGACAAGACATTCTATTTGACCGAGTCTTATGCTGTACCACAGTATCTCAAGTGGCGTAACCTTAACCAGTACACTGAAGGACATGTTTATATAAAAACGCCAAGTAGGCCAAACAGGCTCACGACAAGATCAACTCGGGG